GGAGGAAGGAGGGGGGAGGGAAAAGGGGGGGGAGGGAGGAGGGGAGGGATGGAGTGAGGGGGTGGGGGGGAGGGAGGGAGTGAGGGGTGGGGGAGTGAGGGAAAGAGGAGGGGGGAGGAATGGAGTGAGGAAGGAGGGGGAAGGAGGGAAGTGAGGGAAAGAGGGGGGAGAGGAGGGAGGAGGGAAAGGAGGGGGGAGGAGGGAAGGAGGGAGGAAGTGAGGGAAATGGGATGAATGGAGGGAAGGAAAGATGGAGGAGGAAAGAGGGAAGGGGGAAGGAGGGAGGGGGGGAGGGATGGAATGAGGGAAAGAGGGGGGAAGGAGGGAAGGAGGGAGACAGTGAGGGAAAGAGGGATGGATGGGTGGAGGGAAGGAGGGGGAGAGAGGGAGGAAAGAGTGAAAGAAAGAGGGAGGGAGGTTATATATATATATATAGATATATATATATATATATAGATATATAGGAGAGAGAGAGAGAGAGAGAGAGAGAGAGAGAGAGAGAGAGAGAGAGAGAGAGAGAGAGAGAGAGAGATAAAGATAACACATAAAATAAAGTGCGATGATAAAAAAGGTAGTATGAATAAAGCAACCAGAAAGATTAAGATAATGCGATACAAGCAAATGGATAACAAGGAAGTGATTATGGTATCATTTGTGGAAATTTATTTATCTATTTCTTTCTTTTTTAGAATCGAATTCATTTAAAAATAAATAACAAAACGCATATTGATTCACTGGTTAATATCATTAATTTTCATTTTATTCATAACCATTACCGGAAAGAGTTGTAGAAAATTTAGTTAGACGAAGGTAATAAAACTGATAAGAACGATGAGAATATACCGGAATAATAATATAGGGTAATGATAATGAGAAAGAAAAATGAAAATACGAAAGAGGATAATGATACTGTGGAAGAAAAAAAAATACTCTGATGATAAAAGACCATTAATATCAATATAACATACATTAAAATCATGTATAGTGGGATAGTAATGATCTCTCATTTCAAAATCAAGAATCGGCCTGTTGAAATCTCCCTTAAATAAAATCCTCTTACTGAAACCGCCCTTCAAAAAAATCTTATTAGAATCTCCTTTCAGAAAATGCTAAATTTTACTGAAATCATAAAAAAACCCTCTTCATGAAATCGCCCTTCAAAAAAATCTTCTTCTTGAAACCACCCTTCGAAAAATCCTTTTTACTGGAATCTCACTTCGATAAAATCTTACTGAAATCTCCCTTAAAAATATCCTTTTGCTGAAATCTCCCTTCGAAAATCCCCGACGGAAGAATCCTATCAATCACCCACCGCCCCCCCCCCTCTCTAAAATCGCTTTCGTCATCTCCCTTTCAAAAAATCGCGAATAAATCCCCCCCAGTCACCCCCCCCTTTACCGACCCCCCTTCCACATACAGACAACCCCGAACCCCCGCCAGAGTGAAACTATAAGAACGAGAAATGATAAATAATAATAATAATAATAATAATAATAATAATGATAATAATAATAACAGCAGCAGCAGCAGCAGCAACAACAACAACAACAACAACAACAACAACAACAACAACAACAACAGCAACAACAACAACAGCACACACAACAACACAACAACAACAACAACAACAACAGCAACAGCAACAACAACAACAACAACAACAATGATAATAATGATAATAGTAATAATAATAACAACAACAATAATAATAATAAAACGAAAGCCCGCTTCGGCGACGTACCTTGGCCACCAGGAAGGCCTCCTCCTGCGACAGACTCTCGAATCGCAGGACGTAGTCGAAGGCCACCTGGCACGGCGAGCAGAAGGAGTAGTAGGGCGCCCAGTGCTCGTTGGGGGCGTGGCCCTTCGCCCGCTCCTCCAGCAGGTAGTCCACGAACTCGGGGAAGGTCGGCTGGCAGTCCACGCCCCGACGGGACCTCCTGCCGACCTTGGTCTGGATGTGGCACCTCAGCGATCTGCGGGAAATGTTTGGGGCTGGGCTAATGTCATCAGTAAGAGTATGCCTGAAAGGGATTATATGGTTTATATGAATTATGTAGATTGTATGAATTATGTTATTTATATAATTGAATTGAACTGAATTGAATTGAATTGATTGAATATGATGAATATATAAATAATACATATATATATATATATATATATATATATATATATATATATATATATATATATATATATATATATATATATATATATATATATATATATATACATAAATATATATATCGGTCCAGATGGCCGCGCTTTCGGCCAGGCCTACTCGTACACAAGGCCAGTTGAACCGCACCTAAAGACAGGTGCAGAGACTGACCGTTGTGCAGGTAAAGGCGCGGTTCAACTGGTCTCGTGAAGGCGCAGTTCTGGCCGTAAGCTTGGCTATCTGGGCCGAATCGGTCACTCTGGTACGAAATCTGGGTCTGAGGAATCGGTCTCTCTTTGGTGTGAAATCTGGGTCTGAGGAGCCAGCGAGAAGAGTCAGACCGGTCTTTCACTCGTGTATCTCCGGGCTTTTCAGGGTGCAGGTAAGAACTATTGTCTGTATTTCGCTTAAAGGAATGATCAATATCTATATCTATCAAGTTGACAAAATTATATTGGAGTTTTTACATAAAACATTTAGAGCATCACAAAAATCGTTTTTATTACCCAAAACAAATAAAAAAGAACTGGCTAATTTGGAACTGAGGGCCTATATTTGCATCGACGGCCGCCAGACTAGCATGTTGCTCCAACGAGAAGCACACGATCTATCTATTTGTTCATCTATTATCTATTATTACCGATAATGCGCCTGGTGGTTGGCCTCGATCTTGTCCCTGAAGGCCGAGAGGAGGCGCTGGAAGGGCTCCCGGACGATCAGGAAGGACGTGGCGTTGGCCGAAGCGACGAAGGCCCGGAGCTCCTCGACGGACGGCCGCGGATAGGCCTTCGTGCGGGCGACCTCCACGGGGGAGGTTCTCGACCTTTCGATGACCTTCTTGGAAATCCCGGCCAGGAGCAGGAAGTTGTAGAGCCACGTGGAGGAGGCGGCCTTGAACACGTTGCACCACACGAGGCCGTAGTCCTTGTTGATGAGGAACTCCCTGCTGTTGGGCGCCTCCTGCAGCTCCTCCGACGTGAGGAACCTTTCGCACCGACGCCTGATCTCCGACCTTCGTTCCTCTAGCCTGAGGCCGACTTCCTCGAGGTCTACCGACTCGAGGGGGACCTCCTCCATCTCCAAGGCCCATTGCTCGGTCTTCGGTTTGACGCGGAGGGCGGCCCTGTTGCCGAGGACTTCGACTCTGGGTTCATCGGTCACTTCGGCGGCCCTGCCTGCTGCTGCCTCCTTCTGCTTGCTCAGCTGGGAACAGACAGATCAGGGGATGAAAGGCTGTAGGAGTCTGCAGCCACGCGAATGGGCTTACACAATGTATTTTGTGATGCATTACGCCTTCTGGACTGAAATATGGATATGGTGCTGGGAAGGGAGAAGTAAAACATAAAAGGCTGTAGAGATAAACGACTGTGCGAGTAGAAATAGTGTCCTTGGTGAAATATTATAGTACTATAGTGCATCTACATACTGCTAATTTGTAATGTCTTTCGATTAATTTTGCTGGAAACAAAGAGATAACAAATATAAAAGTTGCAGAAATAGATAGGTGTGTGAATAGAAATGCTGCATTTAGTGTGATATAACACATGTTAGATAACACATTTTATGCCTCCCCTGTGACTTCCTTCGGCTAATATGAAATAAAAATCCACAGACATGGATAAGTTTGTGCATATCTAATTATTTAGGGAAATATAAAACAGGTAATACGTTTGCTGCCTGCCTACCCCTTTCTTAAGTGAATTCCTCTGGGAGAATTTAGAAAGGAAAAAGACACACGAGTAAAGAATGAGTAAGAAATACACATCTGTAGAAGACTAACCGATAGAATAATGATACATGTATTCAGTGAAACGAAAATAGCAGATATTTTATTGGTTAATGCTGATATTCACAGAAGCGGAAGTAGGGAAAGGGAGAGACAGACATATCAACACACACACACACACACATACATACTAACACATAAACAGACACACACAGATACATACACACACTCATACACAAAAGGAAGGATGGAGAGAGAGAGAGAGAGAGAGAGAGAGAGAGAGAGAGAGAGAGAGAGAGAGAGAGAGAGAGAGAGAGAGAGAGAGAGAGAGAGAGAGAGAGAGAGAGAGAGAAGATGCAAAAGCAAAAACAACGAAGACAATAAAGAAAAAAAGTGTTAAAAGACAAAAAAAAAAAAAAAAAAAAAAAATTATAGATTTGAAAGAGAAAAAAAAAAAAAAAAAAAATAATAACGAGAAAGGACCAAAATCACACTCACCTTTAACCGCACGGCAAAGATGATGAGAAAGGCCAGTAGAAAGTTTCTTAATAATTTCTTTGGGCTTCTTGAGATTGAAATAAACGTCATGATGAAGACAATTTTTTGTTTTGTTTTTCTTAAGTTCCCATCCTTTTTTTCTGTTATTGATATCATTATTATTATTATCATTGCTATTTAAGTTCATAGCCATTCTTCCATCATCGTCATTAACATTATCATTATTACTGCTATTGTTGTTATTTAAGTTCTCCGTCAGTACTATTATTTTTAATATGTTTATTTCTTGTTTTTATTTTTTTTATCTTTTCACTTAATTTCAATCTGTCGAAATATATGAATTAGTATTCCGTTATGTTAGGATAGGATGTTTAAAAAATGAGAAAAAAGATATAAATGAAGCGAATCCAAATAAATAAGGAAAACAACAGCAATTACAATAACAACGACATCAACAGCAACAATAACAGCAATAACAACAAAAGGAATTTCGCACACACACACACACACAAACACACACACACACAGAAAAAAACAGAAAGAGGAAGAGAGAAAGATAACGGAAGAAAAGGTTATGAAGAAAGAGTAACAGAGAGAGAGAAAAAGAGAAAGAGAGAGAGAGAGGGAGAGAAGAGTGGAAAGATGAAAGATAAAGAAAGAAAGAAAGAAATATATATAATATATAATGATGTGGACCAGAGGAAATCATGACTGAAATCATTAATAAAAGTAACAATAGACAACAGTAATAAGTACCGAGCGATGAAAATGGTTATGCGTAATAAGTAATAATCAATGATAGTAATAATACATGATAATATGATAAGTGTTAAAAAGGAAAAAAATATTAACGAGAGGAATAACAGATAACAATGATAAGGAACAGGTCATCGAAATCCTCAATAATAGTAATGATAAAAGACAATGACAAGCTATAGATGATCGAAATAATCCATAATGCTGATAAAAGATAACAAGGAAAAACAATAATTAATTGAAATGATTGAAAATAAAGATAACAAAGGATAATTATAAGTATTCAGAAATAGAAACAAATAAAGATAAGAATAACGGGTGAGGTGATAATGGTAAGTGGTAGATAATGATAAAACAACAGATAACAATGATAAGCAGTAATTAATATACATAATATTAACCATCAGGACCGTAACTAATTTAATAGAACACTGGGAAAGAGGACAACATCCTTGATTAACAGAACATGTGATTTGATATAGACGAAGGTAAAAATTGTTCAAAACGATTGATTAACGTATTCAAATAAAGAATTTGAAGTCTGCATGACCACGACGTGTGTAAGACCAAAAACCTTTTATTAAATAGTGCTCTCTCTGAAAATCCAAACACACACACACACACACACACACACACACACACACACACAACACAAAAAAAAAAAAAAATAAAAAAAAAAAAAAAAAATAAAAAATTTAGATTTTTATAGAGCAGTCAAGCTAATAAATCCCATCCACTATGTTATTAATGAACATCCTCATCGCAAAAGCTACGCACGCCATGGAACCAGACACCGGGAACGTAATGTAAAGGATACGGCAGAAAAAGCAGTAAATTCATCCTGTGTGAGATTGCAGGGAGAACTTTATGATTATAAAAAAGATCGTTATTCTCATTCTTTCGATTAAAAACTAGAAAAAAAAATCAGTGAATAAAGGGAGATTTGGATGCGTTTATTAAACGTATTGAACCATTTAACTTCTATCTATTGCATAAACATTGATAAGCTCACGTTAATGTACTCTAGATTGTGACTGTGTTGTGACTAAAGATATGGATGTTCATTTTACAGATGAAAGCTTAGGAGAGAGAGAGAGAGAGAGAGAGAGAGAGAGAGAGAGAGAGAGAGAGAGAGAGAGAGAGAGAGAGAGAGAGAGAGAGAGAGAGAGAGAGAGAGAGAGAGAGAGAGAGAGAGAGAGAGAGAGAGAGAGAGAGAGAGAGAGAGAGAGAGAGAGAGAGAGAGAGAGAGAGAGAGAGAGAGAGAGAGAGAGAGAGAGAGAGAGAGAGAGGAGAGAGGAGAGAGAGAGAGAGAGAGAGAGAGAGAGAGAGAGAGAGAGAGAGAGAGAGAGAGAGAGAGAGAGAGAGAGAGAGAGAGAGAGAGAGAGAGAGAAGAGAGAGAGAGAGAGAGAGAGAGAGAGAGAGAGAGAGAAGAGAGAGAGAGAGAGAGAGAGAGAGAGAGAGAGAGAGAGAGAGAGAGAGAGAGAGAGAGAGAGAGAGAGAGAGAGAGAGAGAGAGAGAGAATAACAAAATACTTAATAATCACACTGGAAGACTCTGTGAATACACAGACCGTCATTTATAATAGAAACACTTTTGAATATTGTAAAGTGTTGTGCAAGCAGAGAACACGTTTTATAAAAGCAGAGAGTGTCATACGGAAGTAGTTGAAGGGAGATGTAAGTCAGTGATGCGATAGAGCTGTCTATCGTGCTCGAAAGATACAAGACATTTTGAAATACGAAATCGAATATGCGTTGCTTACTACAGCTGCTTTCTAGATGATATCTTAGGGCATTGATCCCTCCACCTCGAAAGGAACACCTGTTTTTTTTTTTGGGTAAAGTTAAGGCAAAAATACATGAAAAACTATACATATATACATATCAACGCACACACACGCACGCAGACACACGCACACACATAGGTCATTCCTGTGAAAGTCAATCTTTGTATCCCGGAAGCATTTTAGTATCTCGCGAGACGTCAGAGGCAGCGCACGTCTCGCTCTTGGTTCGCGAAGGGTTCCAGCTGATGCAATGGGACCGCTTTCTGTCGCTACGTCGCTCCTCTTCATCCTGGTACGTACGGAAACGGAGAGAGAAATGCGTACTCGCTCTATGGGACTTGTAACGTGTCGTCAACGTGATTTGATATTTTCGTTCACTGGCGAGGAAGACGGGAAGCAAATAGGAAATTAATATCATCATTAAATGGGTTAAAAGAGTGGAGGCATTTCTATGTGTGTACTATATAATATGTATATATGTATATATATTCATATAGACATGTATAAGTTTATATATATATATTATATATATATATATATATATATATATATATATATATATATATTTAT